TCGATTCAAAGGTGGAGGCACCACATGGACCCTAACGCCTTCGCTCACTCAACCAGAACAAAGGCCATAGGACACTGTAGCGCCTCCTCCGGATGAAGGCATCGCCACCATCGCCCGACGAGTGCGATGCCACCAGGCCCATTCTTAGGGACAGATTGAAAGTTCAGGACGCGCATGGGCCGTCAGCAGGACTCGATGATCAGCCCTTGCCATCTTGCCTGACATAAGTCGAATTCCTTCGCCCATTTCCAGGGTGTAGTTCAGCTAAACCCCAAAAAAAAGGGCCCCATTTTTTAAAAAAAACTCCTCTTTTTTTTTGTTCAGGGTGTAGTTCGCTACCCAAGGCCATTTTGGCCTGTCTATTTCCATCTTGTTCACGCCATCTCTTAAAGTGTTCTTTGTCCAACCAATCTCGAATCGTGGACTTGATAACACCTTTAGAGGGTTCAGGGCTTTCGATCACATTGTGTGATCTAGTGCCCATTTTAGCTAGCTTGTCAGCCATAATGCAACCCTTAACATTAGAATGGCCAGGGACCCACCATAAATGGAGGTTACAATATCCTCCCAGGTGGTTCAATGCCTCAATACATTCCTTAGCCACTCGTGATTTCACTCACATATTGTCAAGTGTGCGGCTTTGCTATCAGTGCATATGTACACATCTGAGCATCTGCCACAGTCCACTATCTCCTCCAAGGCCATCCTGGCACACCTCAAGATGGCGGTCAGTTTGACTTGGAAGATTGTGGTATGTTCCTTCATGGCATAGAATTTCTTCGTACCTCCTTTCTTGCGATAAATTCCTATGCCAACTTTGTCCTCCTTTTTTGATGCATCCGTATACCATATGTCGCCGTTTGGTGAGAGTTCAGCCAGGTTTGCATCATAGCTTACCTGACCCATAGACAAGCTAATCCTAAACCTCTTTTCAAAACAGCAGAGTCTGTAAATCATCCTTGAATGTACGCGTGTTGATCTTTAGAGAGTGGGGAAGACCTCTCCAGCTTCTCTACTGTGTGTCGTTGTATCAATCGTTCTAACGTTTTCAGCAAGAACGATGTAAGGCTGATTGGCGTGAAATCCTTAGCTGTAACGTAGCTGGGTTTGCCCGGTTTTGGGATGAAGGTGACTCTGGCTACCTCTCCAGCATTCCGGAACGTGCCCTAGGCTAGGCAGCTCTGTGCCAGTAAGGTTTCATAAGTAGATTTTGCCTTTGGTCAGTAGTGCCGGAAATATCCCGTTAGGCCCAGTGACTTTAGGTTCAAGACAATCCATGCCCATTTCGAGCTTATTGCCAATTTAACTTCTCATTTGCGAATTTATAATCACCGTTTCTGCGCCATCTGAGGTAGTTCCCCCTTCTCCCAGTTGTGGACTCCTCATTAGCACTTCTCCGTCCAGGAAGTTGGCCTAATAGGATGAGTCAATGTCTCTTCCGTTTGTGTATATGTGCCATCAGGTAGTTTTATAGCTCCAATCCACGCACTGTGGGTAGAGGTAATACCTTGCCCAGTCTTAAGCCGCTTTCTCTTCCCGTTTCTATTTTTCACAATACTCCAACTTGTCTTTTGGCAGAGCGGGATCTCCATTCTATAGTCATTCCTTTCCTTCTCCATTGGCGAAGAGTTCCTCTCTTCGTTCACGCTCGGCAGATCTTGCCTTTTTGGTAGGCTAATCTCACCTTGTTCTTCATTGTTTCGAGCCGTCCATTCCACCATGGACCCTTCGACTTTCGATCTACCACTCTTGCTTTGCTGCTCCTCAGATAGGCGCCAGTGACAATCACCGTCAGGAGCACCACGGCGTCGTCTAACCCGAAAACCGTTTCGATTCTCTTGGGGAAAACCCTCTGATCACATTCCAGCTCCTGCAGATATCCAACCCAGTCTGTGCTCCGCGGAATGTGGATGTCCTGCAACCCATTTTCCGTAGAACAGCGCTGCCCTGCAACTTACTCCAGAAATGTTTTCACAAGAACCTTCACTTGCATACTGGTGTGGGACAATTTTCTTTGAAAAGTGTGTCCCGTGTAAAATGCACCATAAGGCAATCAGTGCTACTTGTAGATGCTTTCTTATTATATTTAAAAATAAATATATGTATGGTAGGTAGATTGTTTTGTGTAGTACACATTTGTTTTCAACTCGTCATTGTTAATGGAACTTCCTAGCTTCCTAGAAGAGCCTCATTGCATCATTTCTATATTTCACATTTATTTCACTCGCCTTCCCATTTTTTTAACTCCTTTTCTTTCTTTGACAGATATTCTTTACTTTCCTTCTGGTATAATTCATATACACTTCTAATTTTGGTTACCGTTTCATCATCCTAAAACATGATTTAAAAAAATTAACTTACCAGGGAAAAGAAGCATAAAATAAACTTTTCCTAACTAAGAAGTTTCATTTCTACCATCCAAGAGTCTTGCACATTTTTCTTTAATTAATTTCTTCACTGCTAAGATTTATAAAGAGAGGTAAAGAATCAATAATTTGTTGTATGATTTCCTAGACGTGAAGAATGTCAGATCTCTGTCCATGTTTTTGTTGTTGTTTCCAATTATTTTGACTTTTGTTTCTATTTTGCATTTGCCCTGTATCAATGAAATCCCATCCACACACTATCTGTTACTCAAAGAAAATTTATTAGGCCCAATCTACCCATCATTTGTTTAAACATCACTTGTTTTCTTTCTCTGTGTAGGTTGAAACTGAAAGTTGAGAATACAATTCGATGGAGAGAGGTTTTCAACAATCAGGGAGATGTTGTCAAAGAGAGCAACGCTCGTTTTGTGAAGTGGTCAGATGGAAGCTATTCTCTGCACCTTGGCTCTGAAATATTTGATGTGTATAAGCAACCATTGCAGGTATGTCATGATGCAGGTTTGAACGTGTCTGTTTCATAATGTCTTGAGATTTATTACTTTTTTTTTTATGCCTGGGTGTTTTTGTAATTGCGTACATTGAAATTACAAATTTATAATTTCTTATCACAATGATTACATAACTGTGATCTAAAATCACATCATAGAAGAGAATATTACAGGACTGAAAGTTGTATGTTGCCAGTAAGTAGGACCTGTAATGAAAAAAGGTTTTAAAGTAATACGATTTACTTGCGATCATATTAAGGTGTATGTAGTGATAGTAGAATTTAGCACTTTAAATTTAAAAAAATCAGATTTGCAAAATGGCCAAAGCATTTTTTTACTTGATAAAATTAAGACTTAGCATTTTGTAGCATGTTTTGAGAAAATTTGTATTAAGAGAGGACTCTTTGACATAAAAAAAAGGCATATTTTGATGCTTTTAATTTTTGCCATTTAAAAAAGTTAATACAGGTTGAGCTGTCTTTTGTTAGTAATTTTTGAATGATCACAAATGCAGGTGCATTAAATTCATTGAAGTTTCTTCTTTATGATATTTAAGTTAACAAAAGTAACACATTTCATTGGTAGTTGATAAATGAGTTTAAAATGAACATGAAGGTAGGCCCAATAAAAGTGAAGAAAATTTTGTTTCCCATTTTAAAGGAAGAAAAAAATTGTCTGAATTTATTGTTTGTGTTGTAATAGTTAAAATATTTTCACTGGGATAATGAATTTTTATTTCAGAGAATTGGTATATGATATAAAATATGTTGTTACATTTATAAGCTTTCCTCATCCTGAGTAAAAAAATAATGATTTTAACAATGTACTTAAAACAAATTTAATTTTGTTTGAAATTATTATAATTTAAAAATTAAAATATTATTAATAAAATATCTGTATCTTTATATTCGTATTGCCATCAGTGAAAGAGGTGACTTTATCTATATTACTTATTTTCAATTCTTGCAGAAATTGAAAGAAAACTATGCAGTCCCCAACAATATGAGAAGTGTCTATGGATTTGTTATATTCCCCATGAACTCGGGGAATAAACAAAACATTAAATTGGTTGCAATTTTTTCTGAAAAATTGTAAATATTTGATTTTTATTCTGACTAAAATCCAATACTTAATTGTCACAGCTTACAACATAGCTGTCATGCGTCAGTAAGGCTTTATGAAAAGAGCCACCCGCCATTAAATTTTTGGTATTAACGTATTATGCTATTGAACTGCAACTTTTTTATAATCTTGGTGTACAAAAAATTGTTGTACCATGTATCCATATATATTATGTTGTTGCAGTATTCATGAAGATCTTTTGCATTGAAGTTCTTAATTTGTTGCATTGGTATACAGCAGTATTAGATTTGTTGTTCTTGAGCAGTATGCTTGCTACAATTTTGTGTGGTTTTATTTAGCACTTCTGCTTCTGCTGGCCAATAGTTTTTTGTTGGTTTTTCTTTCAGGGTGACCACAATCATCTTTTCATCAGGCAGGGCACAGGTTTGCAGGGTCAAGCTGTGTTCAGAACAAAACTAACTTTCCGACCACATTCTACAGAGTCATTCACTCACAGGAAGATGACCCTATCTTTGGCGGACAGATCTCAGAAGACTTCTGGCATCAAAGTTCTGTCTCAGGTGGGAGCTGATCCCGAGCAGAACAGGCACATCATGATAAAGGTGTGGTATTTGAGTTACCTCTTCTGTAAACAGTTTTGTTAGTAAAATAAGTTATCCTATCGTGTTGTTATATCTGAATTTGTAGATACAAACCTGGTTCAATTCGTGGATTTTACTTGCACTCTTGTGATTTGGGAATTTCTTCATAATTGTAATTTGCCCTTTGTATTAAAAAAAAGATATTTTGCTGTGAATGAAGAATATCAACAACGATTCCGCTCACTAAATTAAAACCAATTGTGTTTAACTATACCTATTAAGTGCCCCAATCAGACAGTGTATCTAAAAAATTTATCTCTTTTATATCTGATTTTTCTTACTGACCCTTCCTACAGGCCAGCAATAAACTGCGATTCATCTATCTTAGTAGGCTATACGTATCAATCGCTGTGTTGATGTGCAATAACACAGGTACTGTACTATAACATGTACAGTACATGTACATGTACTATAATATTGCATCTTTGATTTTAACATTCTTTCAGTTGGTTTCAATATCTGGTGCATTTTGGAACCCTGTTGGATGTAATTTCATTCATGTAATAGTCCTATTAAATAAAATTTGTGTTTTGGAAATTCTCCACAAGTCAGGATGGTTGGTGTTGTCGTTATTGTTGTTGTGGTTGTTGTTGTTTCTTCTTTTTTATTTCTTTTGTTACTGAAAGCATGTAAGTTCTTATATATCTTTTCAATCTTCAAAATTGAAATTATTGATGTTATTATAAAAATCAGGAAACAATTAATAATCGGCATGAAAATAGCATGAAAATCAGAATTGAACATAATGTGATCATTATGCGTAGTTTTCTTCAAAATGAGTTCTTCCCTAAAATTACTAAAAATTAAAAAACTAAACTATTAAATAAAACAAAAAACTAAAAAGAAATTGCGACCAAGTAGGAATCTTTTTATCAAGTAGTATATGGATTTAATGATTTACTAGCCAAAATAAATTTTAACAATATTATGTACATTGGGATAAACTTGGGAAATGCAGTATGTCTGTTATTTAATTGTGAAGATAATTCCAGGAAAGCGGTATAGAAAGAAAAATTTATAAATCATGTGTCAATCATTCTAATAATGAATGAAATTGTCATAATGTTATGTTTGTTTGTTTTTAAATGTATTTTCGTACAGAAAAAACTTTTACTTTAAATTAAATTAAAAAAAACTTGTGACATTATTTTGAATTGAAAAAATTGATTGATTTCAAAAATGTGCTTTGCTAAAAAATCTAAATGAAATTTCAAACTTCAGTTCACTTACAGTAAGGTTTTTAATTATTAAAACACATCAACAATAAACTCTCCCATTCCTTTACTCTTTCTTGCCATACTATGTTTTCATACTAAAGAGAAAGTAATATAAGCAGTGGCTTTTGCTCGTGAGAAACACTTATATAAGTTAATGTAGTACATAATATTGCCTAACTGTTATAAATAATGCAGAGTGTGCCGTTGTAGCACCAGTTCATTATTCGAGATAGTTTTCATCTCTTGTAGAAAAGTTACTACAGCATCCCTAATGTACATCTATAACATAATTTTGTGTGTCAGGAACTGCATTGTAAAGGCCCTATCTTTTAGTAAAATAAACCAAAAGTACTGATATATTACAAAGAATGTGTGTCATGGTGCAAAATTATTTTGTGAAAATAAAGAAGTAAGGAAAGGATGTAATAAAACATGTATGCAACAGGGGAGGATAACCCTGAAGAAATAAAACTGAGGGATTTTTTTGAAATCAGTGGATCTAATCTTAGATTCACATACTGTTGGTTTCAAGAATGCAGTGTCAAAATGACTAATAAATTGGGCATACAGCCTCAATTGCAAAGAGTTCAAATTTTTTTTCTGTGGCCCCTTGAGGGTCTCCCTAAAATTGCTTTGCAGATCTCTAGAGGTCAGCGGTTTGAAAACCTGTTACTGATGATAAAGAAAAATTTTCAGAAGGCAAAAAGCAAAAAGCAAATATTGTGTTGAAGAAATTGAGATGTGTTCTGCTGTTCATAAATTAATATCGGAGTGTGATTCTGTCCTTTCCTTTTTGATGGGTGACTCATGGCAATTATCGTAGTTAATTATAATCTGTCCATTTTTAATAGTACTCATCCTCCTTCATTTTCTTTTCTTTCAGTCTTGTCAATGTCACAGGTTAACCTTTCAGTACCGCTGTTTATATTAAATATTTTTCAACCATTGTAATGTAATTTGTATGAATTACTGCATGAAGAATCAACATGAAAGCTAAACTAAACAAAAATTTTCCGACGCATTACAGAAAAGAAGAAGAGCGTCTTCGAGCATCAAGCGTCGTGAGAGCAAAACAAAAGCGTGGTAAGGGAACGAGGAGCACAACAGGGGGGTTGAGTACCAGTTATCTGAGCCTGATAATCGAGAAGAGGAAGGTTTCTGAGATGAAGGGGCTATCTCTTGGCTGCTATTAAAAACAAATACAAGAAAGGTGGATCTGGCTAAGGGTACGTATAGCTCCTATAAGAAGGGACGTTCCTTGACAAAATTAATTCTAAGTATAGTCCTATCTAATTCTTTGTGGTCTCAAACATGAGAAATCAGTGAACATTGCAGAGTATATCACAGGTGTTGCATTTCCATTGTACTATCATATATCAATTACTCTGTGTTGTACTAAGAGTCTTCTTTTATGATTGTGATGATCATTCTCTCAAGTTTTCATGTCATATGTATCTGTAATGCATTTATTGGTATATGATTTAATTATTCATCTTTACGTTCATGAATACAACACAGCAAACACAATAAAGAATGATACTCTGCTGTAACAAACATGGCATTGGGGGTTCTTAAAGTCTTTGTTGAAAATCCTCTCTATGATATTGTATTCTGTGTTGTGCTATGTGATAATTTGTGAAGAACTCTCTGGCTAATAATCCGGAATTTCTTTACCTGTTAAATACTTTTCAGGTGAATTTTTTATTACAAATTTCTGTATGAAAGCTCACTTCTGATCATTGACAAATATATGTGTGCATTTGCTCCACAATTTTAACTCAATATTGAGTACTCGTAATAACAATCTATAAACAGTGTTTTGATTAGTTGTTGTTGTCGTTTGAAACTAATTGTTTCGGATCTTGGATGAGATCCAACAAGGATTACTCAGTGCCCCCCATGGATATCATTGCATTTAAGAACTACTTGATATCGATTGAATTTCTTTTCTCTTTCTCTCTCTCCATCTCCCACAAAGAACTTGGTGGTGCATTTTATTTTAATCAAATTTTATAATAGAACAAGTTAAGATAAATACAAGGTAAAGAGTGACTCAGCTCTTTCTTGAAATTAAATTATGTCCTTTACAATATTTATTTTAATTTTCAATTTTAATTTCTAAAAACTATTTGTTTAATTTCTAATATAATTTTCAAAAATATTTAAAAATTATTCAAATATATTCTTGGTTCAGAGGTCCAACTCAAAATTACTGCCCCTAGAATCTTGTGTTTAGGGCATTTTGGTGAAACAGTACGAGTATTCTATAAACATTGTTGGGATCATGTTGCAGGTGGTGACAATCGTCCTCCCATATACTCTAGTGATGAAGAAGGATCTGATATTGAGTCAAGAAGAGCAAAACGCTTGGACAAAGCAAAGGCTTTGAAAGACTCAGATGAGGAATCTGAAAAGTCTGCTTCTGGGTCAGGTTCAGGATCTGGGTCAGGTTCTGGTTCAGCCTCGGGTTCTGGATCTGCGGAGGAGGATGAAGAAGACGGAAATCAGTCTGGATGAACTGATTCACAGTACTGAGTGTATATAAAGTTTTTATGACAATCCTGTGGGAATTTAACACACAGGGCAGTAGTTAGTAGTGACACACTCTGTAAAGAAATCAACATTGGGTAAAATAATGTGTAAAAATTGGCTAGATTTGGTATCTTTTGAGAATTTTGTATTGAGAAAAATAACTGCATTGATTTTTACATAAATTCGTTATTTATATTCTGATTTTTAAGAGGATAGTTGTATTCAACAAGGTTATTAATTATTTTCAATATGGAAATCATAATCCCTTTTTTGTCTTTAAGTAATGTACGATATCTGTACATGCTTTGTTTCACGAATTTTACCAGTTTTCAGAAAATAGAATTCAACTGTGTTGTACATTTGTGCAAGGGAAAAGAAACAAGACAAGACATGTGACACGCTATGAGGTCCATTGTACAATTTCCGAATGACATAAATAAAATGTCAGCTTTATAAAATATTGTTTACTTTTTATCTGTTATGCCATTTAATTTTTAATGCAATTTAATATCTCAAACAAAATAAAAATGTTTGAGAAAAGAAGATACAAAGTTTTCAGTTATCATTACTTATAATGTTCTTAATTTTATTAACCTTTTAACTGACACAAACACAGAAAATGTTTGTGTAAGAGAGTGTTGGGACGTGTAAAAATATGGAAATTTTCCCTTCCTGAAAGCCTCCAGATGTGTTAGAACATACAATCTGTTGCTGCAAGTCTCTGAACATGTTAAGATCCAATTGATATCATAGATGACTTTAGTAATATCTGTGCATGATTCTGTTTACTAATATGATATTTTGATGCAGTTATGGTGGTCACAGTGTGTTGGTCTTACAAGTTAATTAACTTGCTAACTACTAACTTACTATGCTATCGTTTTGGTGAGTGTCCTCTACACAAAATCAACAAAAGTTAGTTTCTCAAGGTCTGTAAACACCACGAGAGAGTGCCTCATTGTAGGTTTGACAGGTATGTTCTCTCAAACGACTACTCCGTGAAGAGAAATTTACAGTTACTCTGTCATTTTCCAAACACCATTTTCTTGTCAGACCTGTGAAACCTTGGGATTCCTTACCTGTTGGATTATTATAAAACTTGGGTAGTTAAAAAAGGCTTGTAGAAGTTTTCGTTTTATTCCCAAGTGTTGAAGTTTGTGTAGCATTCTGCATGTTGGAACTTTACCAAAAGCCTTAGAGAAGTCAAGGCAAATGATATCAATAGAAACGTTGTCTAGGATCGCAGTGCAGTCCTGAAGACAAGTAAGGAAGTTTGTGTTTCTGTCTTCCAGGAACAAAACCTTGTTGACTTGGTGGTATACATCCAGTCGCCAAAGCATGATTCAGTACACATTTAAATATTATTTTCTTACAGAATGTTACATAATGAGTTTGTGAGTGCTAATCTATCTGTAGTGGCGGGTGTCAGTTGAAGATAGGTACAAAATCTGCAGTTTTCCAATCAGCTGGCAGGATTCCAGAATCCAAAGAGTTATGCAAGATATAATGTAAAGTTGGGGCAGTTTCTAATGAGCAATTCTTCAGGAAGAGAGGGGAGGTTTCATCTCATTGAGCCACAAACTTCGAATTATGGCTTTTAAGGTAAAAAAAAACTCACTTATTATTTTAAGTTGATATCCTCTAAAGATTCCTTAGTTGGTGATGTATCGATGTTGAAATGTTAATTGACATTGACCGTTGCTGTTTGTCAATGTGGATTAGTGAAATAGGAGTAGAATATTTTGTGCTTATTCTTCTTTTTAAAAGGTGACTAACAGGAGCAGTTGGCTGTTGTCCCTGTTAAATTGATTCCTCTTTCATTCGCCATTCGTTTCGCTGTTCCTTCTATTTTTTGCCAAAATATTACCTCTATATTACCTTATCTGTTTCCCCGCTTCCCTTTCCAAAATATTTTCTAATCATTTCTTCTTTTTCTTTAGGTACTTTACTATGTTTTTTCTCTATTTTCTTGTGCCAACTGAGAACTGATGTTTTCTATGCATCTTTTGACTTTTCGAGCAAGGCAAATTTTAAAATGTTCCGAATTATTGTTTGGATCAGCAATGAAGGTTTACACACATGCACAAATGGATGTTGGTTAACTCCAACACCGATCTCCACAAAAGTTGGCACATCTATGTGTTTTTTTCACTCATTTTCATGTGCTGTTAATTTTTTGTATCTCCACTAGATGGCGCTGTAGATCAAAACTAAATATTCTTGTTAAAACCAACCGGAAACACTTGGCAGCATTTTTGAATCTTTATCGTTAAATAACTCCTGAACGAAAGGCATTAAAAACTAAAATTTTGTGGGCAAAGGCTTCAAAGAAACATATCTCATACCATAATCTACAGGATAAGATCTTGAACATCCTATTACATTTTTGCTAGTCCGGCGCTTCTCGATATTATCCCATCGCTCAGAGACGTGCAGTATCTGCAACTAAATGTGAATGAAAGGGACACAGAGACTGAGTCTGAAATACTGAGACAGGAACAGAGAGAGAAAGGGAGAGGGAAGGAGTAAAAAGGAGATAGGGCACAAGAACATCTGCCGGGTACCGCTAGTAAACCATAAAGTTTTGTGGACACTATGGAAGTTAGTTGTCTTAGGCGACTTCCAACTGCTAGGGGCAAAATCATCAACTAATGGCTCTGGACACATACATTACGGTCATACAGCATACTCTGTCTTCAACATCAGGTGGTGGCATGTGTAAACAAGCAGACAGGCATTGAAAATAATTTTTAAAATATTGATCGCTGTTAGCTAATTCAAATGTTTCAAACTTCTTAAGAAGAAAAAGTTACGTAATACTGCTCGAAAAAATGACGAATTTTTCGCAGATACAGGACACTGGTAAAGAAAAAGTTGATAAATCCAATTGTTAAATTTCGAAGAAGATCCTCTAACACATGGTATAGCAAGGAACCCTGCTTTCTTGGGTTCTTGATACCGAAAAATCGATTGACGGAAAAACGAGTCTGTCCGTCTGTGAACAACGCTAGCAGCTGTTCAGCCGATTGTCTCCAAAACTGATACTCCCTGATCGATCTGATGTCACGCCCCCCTAATTTGAATTGAAACCGACATCTGAATATTGGGGGGTACTTTTCATTAAATTCCTGGAATATTTTAAAATTTAAAAAAAAGAAAATGGCGCCATCGATATTTATAAAATTTTGTTGTTGGATAGGCCAAAAGACGTTTAATGGCGCAGGTCTCATGTTGGTTGAAAACTGATTTTTCGTAAATACAAAAAGTTCACATTTTTTCGGCGTCTTCCGACAACTACAATATTGAAGATAGGGATTTTTCCCTTTGCAAAATCTGTTCATTAAAGATATATTTCGAAATAAGGTCATGTACAATTTTTGGAAAATTTGAGTACGTTGATCACGTTATTTTGTGTAAAATAGACAATTTCAATTTTTGGTGAAACACTTTTTTCTAAAAAACGTGTGCATCGTTTTTTGTGAAATTTTTTTGGATAGTCTGCACAACGTTTAAGAAAATGGTGTAATCTCATTTTCGTTGAAAACCTTGATTTTTCTAAAATTGAAAAAATTATTTTTTTGTCGTCTTCCTACAACTACAATTATAAAAATACAATTTGTTTATTTTCGAAATGCATTAATCAAAAACCGATCTTTTAAGTAAGATCAAGTTGTATTTTATGAAAATATTAGTATTTTTGGTAATTTGCTTCAGACACCCGCTTATTTCATGCGTTACGTGAACGTAATTTTAGGTCTTAGGAAGCAGTGGGATACTACGTAAGTTGGTATTTGTGTATTATTTGTTCGTTTCTTCTCCGAGCATTTGTTATATTTTTAAAATTAATCTTTTAAAAACTATTTAAAACCTATTTTAAATTGCGTCCTTTGAGTTAATTTGTATCCCATACGAACATTAGCTTGTAACCCATTGTTGTAAGTTACGGCTATGCATCGTTGAGTAGAGGGAAATGACCGGTTCTGGAAGTCTCCCGGTCTAAAATGGCTGGTTCTGGAATATCCGGCAGGGTGTGACCCGGGAAGATCGGGTGTAAACATCCGGAGGAGTGTTTAAACCGGAAGAGAGCAGTGGCGAGTGGTGTGACGTCACAAGGTCGCCAAGGGGAGGTAGTCGTGGGCGACCTTGTGACGTCACAGCTGGGCCGAGCACCCGGTCGTTGGGACGATCTTGTGACATCTGTGTCAGCTGCTCTCTCACCTGACCTCACATGCCCTACATTTTCTACAAACCTCTGAAAAAACATTGGCGACTAGAGTGGGGTAGAAGCCCTGCCTGGTGGTGACGCTAGAAGTAAATAAACAATTTTGATGTATATTTATATATATATATATATTATATATATATATATATATATATATATATATAGTGCTTTAGTCTCGAGATGATCCGCGTGAGCGGAGAGATGGAGCGGTGTCTCTTCGTTAATATCGATGAAATTGAGGCTATGAAGAACGGTGGAATCCACCTCCATCATCTTCGTCTCAACGACTCCCATCTTGATAATGTTGGTGGTGCTCGAGCGGCGATCGAGAGTGAACTCTGTTGCTTTTCTTTCCGCGGCGTCTGTTTCTTCGTCCTCTTATCACTGCAGGATTTGGAGAACGATGACTGTGCTATTCACAACGAAAACTATAAAATATGTACGTGGAGTTGTAGGCTTCCGCGGCCAGAGTCCTGTGTATGATCTTGGCTGTCCGAGTGGCGCCGTGTCGAAGGCTGTGTTGCCGACGTTTCGACCATCTGTCGTGGTGATCCGCATACCAGCCCTGAGGAAGACTATGACAAGATGGTCGAAACGTCGGCAACACAGCCTTCTTCGCGGCGTCACCTGGACAGCCAAGATCGTACATAAAATATGTACGTTCACATTTCAACCGCCCTGCGAATTGGAAGAACTGAACGCGCGCGACCGACACTAAAAATTGGATACTACACCACAACCACTTGTGGCGTCATATCAGTCGCCTTGTACAAACGTGACAAAATATCAGCCACGTGCATTTCATGTATATGAAATGCACGAGGAAGTAGTTTGCGACAGCGCGGGTGGGAAGGGGCGCCGGGCTGAACAATGGCAAACCTAGGGTGCGGAAGGGAAGGGCTGTCGTGTCGTGGGTGGCCACTTGTGAACCCCGTAAACCACTTGGGGCAAACTTGTGAACCCCGTAGACATACTGGCTGTGGAAACGTGTCGGCGGAAACAGCGAGATGACGCAGTTCCGTCAGCCGGCCCAGAAAGTAATATAAGCGGGCCCGGACCTAAACTCCTGATTCTTGGGCGCGTCGGTGGGAAGTTGTGTGGGTTGTGCGCAGCGCTGCATTTCAATACATAGGCTACTGAAGCAGGGAACTGAAACGGCGTGCTACATCGAGACGGGAGGTGCGGCGTACTCGCTTGTATGATCACGTTGGGCGACTGGAGCATCACACCGAACAAGATATCAAATTATCAGGCCAGCGGTAGTGGTGACCAGGAACATTCCTTCTGATAACGGTCAATATTATTTATTGTAAAGACTCCACACACTGAACGCCGTGGCAGTGGAAACATACTATACAGAAATACGAAGACACAAAGCGATTCGCAGAGCAGAGGACGGGAGTGATTAAATTTACGTTACAGGAGGATAGAAGTCAGATTGGTTACACGAGTACGTTCATTTGTTATGTAGTCAACTTAGAAGTGTTCAAATGTCCTCAGATTTACATATATGTAAGGATGTAGTGAACCGTACGTGGCCTCTCCCTCCAAAGCTACAATATCTCTCCTCTTGCCTGTGCCCTTTGTCACGACGTACCTCTGTCTTTCTCTCGTGGGTCACGCGGTAATTGAACACTGCGGGTTTGGCGATAAGTGATGAGCGAGAAGTGTCAGTCGAAAGGTAGCTGAAGGTTTCTGCAGTAGGGGTTCTCCCAGCAATCAACAGAAAACACGTGTCTTGAACGGTTTCAGTAATAAGATAAAGTAATGGACCAACACATCGATGAATTCATTTCTTCAGACACTCCAAGGAGGACCTATGCGATCAGGGCAGCGATGGCGACCAATTTGTCAGTGCGATCGCTGCGTATCGCAGTCGCCTCCGCGCTTCCTTACCGCCAAGAGGGGAAATCTCAGTTGCCGCAGGGAGGGGGGGAAACCCCCGAGACTTCATCAAAGATACGTTCGCCATGATGGTTTTCTCGCGAGCGGTACAGCTATAGCTCAGACGAGCTTTAACAGGCCTATTCGAATGCCTGAAACAGATCGACAAACATCTGCGGATATTTTGCACTTGGACGTGCGCGGTCACGACAATAACACCGTTTTCAGCACGCTTATTGGCGCCGGAGATGCGATCATCCGGGACGCCTGCTATCTACAGGAATCCGCAAGCTCGACCGCTGCTTTCCATCAGCCGAGCGTTGACAGTCACCCTTCCCTCCGCCCAAAAGGTTCGGTCCCCGTGGCTAATTGGTTAGTTTGTTGTTAGTGATTCCGGGCGCGTCAACTACTGAGAACGTAAGTCCTGTAAGTGTAGGGCATGATATTTCGTAGGCAGGTGACGGCGATCTTTCCCTGCTGGATGGTGAGATTCCCTCAACCACGTATCGCCCACCAGCGGGGCGTCAACTCAGCCGGGAGAAGTTCTAAGCGCCCAACCGGTCTACCGGCATGTGCAGTAGTGTAGTGCATATTAGTGCAAATGTGTGAGGATAGGACAAGGATGAGGAAGGAAAAGTTGCGTGCGGTCTGTGCTCCCTTTGCTCCGGCATTCGCCTGGTGTTGACTGGAGAAACCGGGGAAGACTACCGATCAGAGCAGCCGGCCTAAAGCATTCTCCTCCAGGCAGCGACTGAATTCGACCAGCTGAAAAGCTAGAATCGGAACTCTAACCCAGGAAAATAAATATTTAAATAATAAGTTAACAAAAATTATATTCTTATCACATAAAACTACATATTTTTAAGTTTAATTTAGGTGTAATTTTATTTTTCTGAAGTAAATGGTGTTTGCCCAATAAAATTTGTAAACATTAGCATGCGCATGATGTTATGGAAAAAGTAATTGGTAATATTTCTGAAAAGTGTGGGATCAGAAAAATTGTTGTCACCTATTTTCAACCTTAGAACACAAATAAAGTTTCTAGTCGCTAAAAAATAATGATGTCTTGTGAGTGTGCAATTTAAAGGGAATGACTCATTTGGAAACGGTGATCACACTCGCTGACGCACACCAAAAAAAAAAGGTGATACAATATTTTCCACTACATTGTCAATGCACATTTCACCATGTCTTCAAGTTTCCTTTAGAAATGTGTTCTCATAAATATCACCAGTATTTTCATTTGTGTTAAGATTATTCTTTCTTCTAAAATTGTGTCTCGTAAAGTCTAATTCACCTTCAGATACACACTCAATTGTTCATTATAGAAAATCACAATATTTTCCCAATCAATGTAGATTTACACTGCTTCATACTTTAATCATTCGCTATTTATTCATAGAAGTTAAGATTTTTTTAATTGATAATAAATTGATAATGGATGTTAAAACAAGTAGTTTGTATAAGCATTTTGTTGAGGTAAAAACACTATTCTCTCACTTCTTCACACATGTGGAATGTAGTAATCCTGCCATCTTTAAAAAAAAAGGGCAGAGAAAGAGTTAGACACAGGGTCCAGAACACACAGCCAAAGACTGCAATTACGAGATCCTTGTGTTCTCATCATTTTATCAACCATTAAGGTATGAGTGTTTTTGTGGCATGGTTGACCTTTATAGAGAATCCTATCTGAACCACCATTCCAAGCAAAAACACCCCTTCTTCAATCATCCATCCAGTGGAAGACACCAGCAAACCACCATGGTCACTTGCTGAGACACTCAGGAAGAATGAAATGAGCAAGGCTTCTTCCCAGGGAGGGACGTTGGAAATTCTGTGGTCACAGGGTAAATGTTCGTAAGTCAAAAATCTTAATTTAGAGAAAACAAAGGTTAGATTATCGAACCGCTTTTGATAAGAGGTGTCAAGCTGTATTTCACAACATATTTTTGATGTGAAGAAGGCAACCTCTGAATTCGGTTGTTTACTTTAAATACAATAAAAATACTTAACTTGTAGTTTCAGTACGTAAATCCAAATCATCAAATTGACTTAAGAACTTTTACCCTGTGAGCATAGAATTGTCCCCCCTCCTCCCTAGAAATTTAAATTCTCCTTGCCAGGAATACAACTAATCCATATTAGGTGCCGTATTCATAATTTTCACACTATTTGTTCTTTGATCATCTCACCCTCCACCCAGGAATTTTGAATGTGTCCGAAAGAATAGCCAATTCACACCCTGCTTCATTTCTTCACACTTATGCAGGCTTCAGCAACCTATCGGTTATCAACTTCTACGAGGGGAATTTTTGTTCACTATGAGTTTGCAGATGACGACTTAGAGCTGAGTGCTGGGTAAAAGTCTTCTTGCAAACTGAACATTCAAATGGTTTCTCTCCTGTGTGGATTCTAATATGGGAAACTAGATTTTCTTTCAGAGCAAATCTCTGTTCACATATATTACATATGAACGGTTTCTCTGTAGTGTGTGTCTGAAGGTGGCTAACAAGATTAGTATGCTGAATGAAACTCATATGGCAAAATTTACACTTGAAGGGTCTTTTGCCAGAATGTGTCAGCATGTGTCGAGTTAGAGTTGTTTCTTCATAGAATCTTCTGTTGCATTTATCACATTTGTATGGTTTTTCACCTAAGTGCGTTCGCTTATGGCAATCAAGCGAATTTTTATGAGCAAACACTTTATCACATTTACTACAAGAAAAAGGCTGTTCTCCTGTATGCAATTGCATGTGATGAACAAGAGAAATATTGTTACGGAATTGTTTGTCACACGTATTGCAGGACCACATTTTTTCAGAACTGCTGGAAGGATGATTAAGATCTTGATTCAACACTTTTGATTTGTCCACAACTGATTTCTCATCTTGGCTGCTGTTACTTCTACTCTTCCTGCCTGTAAACAAAAAAACAATAACTAGGCAACACTATAAAAGAGTGTATTAATATGTGTAAATTGTTAATATTTCTGCGACAACTCTGAACACACTTAATGGAGTGTAGTCTCAGTGTGGAAGAAGAAACATATTCCCCTGTTTTTTCCCCGTTTTTCTACAGCATTTTAAAAATGTTTCATCGATAAGATTTGTATAACATTTCAGACTATTTAGAAAAAATATTAAAGCAAGCCTGAATCTAATTTGTTGCCTCTCTTATTTCGCTGCGATAATGTAAAATTAAAAGTACAAATAGAAATTGACCAAAAAAAGTACTATACTTTCTTTTAGAAATAATATCGAGTTTTATAACCATCTCAAAACTTTCCATGACTTCTAATGATTCTTCCACACATTTCTTCACATTTCCCTCACTATTCCAGAGCAATGAAATTGGGCATCCCGATTCTATTGTATATTCCAGGGTATTTTAATCCTCCAATCAATATACTGTCGGAATCTCACCAAACTGTCTAAAATAGCGTTTCCACGAAAGAAAAAATGAAACAAGATGTAGATGACTTGGTAGCTATTTAAACCAATTTGGTGCCAAATGAATATTTGCTTTCATGCAGGTACAGAAATTTAAATAAATTTAATAATTAAAAGGAATTATTAATGATCGTTTGAAATGGATATATTAAAAATAGAAATTGTGAAGTATTTACCATAAATAAAATATTACTAGATTTATCTAATTAAATAAATGAAAGAGCAAAAAATATGTTAAACGGTTACAAGACTTCAATACTTTAAACACTCACTACACTTCTTTCTTTGGTGTAAGAAGTTGATTATTTTTGCTCACCTTCAGACTTTTGGCTCCCAGAGCCAGCAGGTATTATGATAACTTTTGTAGAGAGAGGAAGATTGATACCATGAGCAGAAACAAACTTTGCAACCTTTTCTTCTCCATTATCATCCGATTTTTCATCCAGGCTGCTGTTACTTCTGCTTCGTTTCCCTGTGGACAAAAACCTTTGGTAACATGATCATCCTATATCCTGGAAGGCATCTTTAAGATGACTTGGCTTCGAGAGCTATCAGCCCGGTGCTTTCAGGAAGATGGTTTGCCCTACAGCGTCTCAGAGGACAGCGTCTGTTCCGTGACCCAGTCGGAGGACTTCTCAGATATAGCAACAGACTTTCTTCATATTTCTAGATAAGATCTCCTTCCAACAAAGAGATAGTGTTGTGAATCAAAAATGTCTTGCCGCACTTCTTCTTGTCATTACCTTGTCAAACTTGTCCTGGCAACCAGCCAGCCTCCATCCAGGTGAATGTTATGAGGTGTTTTACATCCAAAACAAAATTCAAGGCAGATTTGAATGAAAAAATGAGTTTTGTACACATTGACCTTACTAATAAAATAAAATAATTGTTTTCTTTCATTGCATTTAGTTGTTTATTTTCTAAATTGTACTAGCAATAAATTTAACTGCTGAAGTAGGTCAATTTTGGAAATATGATTTTCAAAATTAAAGTAAATATACTGTCATTTTTTATGTATATTATTTGAATATATAGTTCATTGTCAAGTTACAGCAAAAACAATAACAAATGAGTTCAATACTGTTCAAAAATACTATGCCACTTGAGTAAATGCAACATATCTGCTTGAAACAATGGCCAAACTGACGGAGTTGTGAAGCACGCAACCTGGACTCAACCTGCCTTTTTCGTATGTCATCTCAGAGATGCCCTCCAAGCTGTAGGACATCACACTGCCCGCAGGCATACGAGCTGGGAATAATTTCAAGATGTCCCCTCTGACATGGTGTACAAGTGCAACGGGTTCATTTGGCTAGACTGAATATGTCAATACATGTACATTGACTGAGATTCTGATTGTGTCAATATGAATACGTTATAATATTTTTGTTACCATGCTCTGACTCTGTGCCAGAACTCTGTAAAACTTACTGGAATCTCCGAGTACAGATACAAGTTTAATCTATGAAGTGCGTTAAGTGATCCTTGTCTGCAAACTAGGCAACTTCATTGTTGACCCCATCAGTGTAAGGTAACGCACATCAACGCAACTCTCATGTGACACAAGATGTGCCGAATTTTTATCATGCAATTTCCTAGCAATATAGTAGAGCCACACTAGACGACACTAGTGCCCCTATCCTTTCGTTCAGTAGTTTTGTTCAAAATTCCAAAATAGAGAGTTGAAACTAGTTGAAATGTCCTGCCTAGCAACAATCTGAATTCAGTAGAATTCAACACAAAAATTCCTTGGGCTCCTCTACCATAAAATAAACATTCTCACTTATTGATCACCTATGTGGTTATAATTTGGGCATTTTATGATCTTAAAGGTACTTTCATTATCATCATATAAGTGTGAAAAACATATAATTGTAAAATGCATATCGGAAATAATTTAGCATGGGAAGTATAGGAATTTATCTGCATCATAAGCGAAACATATAAGTTCAAAACGTATAAATGGAGTTTCACTTAATGTATTATAATATTATTAGTAACATATTTTACTGCCTTCCATTTTTGCTCACCTTCAGTTTTTTGGATCCCTGAGCCAGCAGGTATTATGGTAACTTTTGTGGAAACAGGAAGATTGAGGTCATGCGCAGAAGCAAACTTTGCAGCCTTTTCCTCTTGGTCGTCTTGTTTGACTTTGTTTCCTTCTTTCTCTTCTTTGACAGGCACTCTTATGCTCTTTTCCTCCTTGATAGTGTGGCTCTTTTCTGTAACAAATTATTTCGCAGGATTTAATATGAGTAGATGGAAGATTATCTGAGATATGTGAGACCAACACAACTTCAGACACAAACTAGTGGGGCTACAGAATGGCTCAGAATCTACTTTCTCACACACCAGTTAGTTTTCTAATCTCTTTCATCTGGGCTAGCTTTCTTGTATTCCCACACCCTCTTCCCAGCTGTTGGCACCCAAACAATTTATTTTTCTCCACATTTTCTCAATTTTTTGTCCTCTAATAGTAGACGTGAAATAACTGTTTAGGAATTTTACAGAAGAGTAAAAGAATCCTATATGGAAATTTTCAATGAAAAATATGGAACTGTTCTTGAGAAAATGTTTACGTGTTTTTGAAAATGCGCAATATTGAGCACATTTTCACAGAAAACATGAGTTTTTGAGAATGTTCATCAGAAATCCTTTAAAGCCAATGTGCTCACAAATGCAATGATGTTTAGAAAATTACCACAATGCAAATATTAACAAAATACAAGATATTAAAAAAAATACATTTATGCAGTGGTGGCTCGTGCTTAGATTGCACAACCCTCAGGTAATCGAAAAAGATCGTATATTACCTTAGGAATATACATTTTCCTTTTAACATCATTCAATATTATAGAAAATGCAGCAATATCAATGTATATGAAATCATTTATAACCAAAGATCGTCCAAATGACACACACTCTGGCTTCTGGTGACTCCCAGGTATTGCACCACGGTCTTGGCTGTTACTGCATTTACTCTTTGGTGTTTTCTTTTAACACGGGGAACATCCAGCCTTTGGTGACATAACCATTTGGAAGGGGGGCTTGTCTACGAGCGCTGCGCGGGGACTGAGGCAGTCCGAGGGTATACCAATATTCTGTCTTCATCTACTCAACCTGCAACTTAATTTTATGAATTTCGCATGTTATTGAGAGTAAACAAGTTCAGTCAAATATTGACAGTATTCACCACATTCTATTTGGAGATTTTGTTTTTATTTGATATTACGTTTGCTGATTCAAAAAGTACATTTGATGAGTTTGTGTAAAGTTAGCCGTTCTGGAAGGAAGTCCCTTCCTCTCTCTCTCTCACAGTGTGCACTTTGCGGTTTCGCTGCAGCCAGTCTGCCCAGAGCCTGCCAGTAGTCTGCAAGCAATATTCTGAATACGAATGTGTGTAGAATATCTTTCATTATTGCAATATGTAAAAGGGTAGTGAAGTTTTCAAAATAAATAATTTTATTTGTATAAAACGTTTCCAAATAAGGAGTTTGTGCAGCACTGGAAATCAAAGCCAGAACAAGACTTGAATAAGAAAGCATAAAGATGTTCTTTCATCATTTTGTTGGAAAAATCTTAGAACCCAGATGGCTCGGAGTGGAGCATCTAGCATCAATTTTCACCAAGGCTTCACTAAACCAAAACACAAATGATGCATGGAGCTCAAGGACTGTTGAATATTAGATCTTCAGTATTGCTTCCACAGGAGTGAATTCAATTCAATTCATCAATAACATCGACACTTTCCCCTGAAGACAATACTTTCTGATCCTGAAGCTAAGTACCATTTTGATTGATCAATGAACAATTGATTCATCTAATTTTCAATTGTCTCCTTTCTGTTTTCTCCTTACCACCCCATTCTACGAGTAACCTGTTATATGGTAGATGTGTGACTCGTGAGCTGAAGATTTACTTTGAAAAAATAGAAGCTGTAATTATGTTATAATACACTTATGTGCAGTGCTTGATTTCTGACTGAAAGCACCGAAATGGCATTTCGGTAGGAATAATTATTAAATTATTTTGTAAATATATACCAACTATTTCTATTAAATTAATAATTAATTTAGGGTGCATTTCAGGACCTAAAATTTTATAAATCAAGCACTACTTACGTGTGAGTTGATCTAAAATGTTTTTCATTTCATTTCAATCTTCATTAATATTAATTTCTTACCAGAATGTTTTCTTCTTGGATGTAGCACTCTGAATTTTGAAACCTTTCTTTGTTGTGTTGAAGATAAATTTCCTTCGAAATATTTATCAATGACTATTCGCTCTGCTTGAACAACACATTCAGGCACTGTAACATTGCCATAATTATTAACATCATTAACAAGCGCATACAAGAATCTAATACGAGTTATACACAAAGCAAATATACCACTAGTTACTTACAGTTTGTTGTTTGTTTAGAGCTCTTCACACCATTGACAGAGCTTGCCAATTCAGATGGATTAGTTGCATTCCTTACCCTGATCTCATTTGTACTCGCTTTTGTTGGAAGAGAAATGCTTTCAGGATCTAGAAAAAAGTCGCACATCATAGTAAATAACTGATAAAAACAATTACTGTATTGGGTTCCCTCATCATGACAGTTGATACTGTATACTTTCACCGATATGTCAAAATAAAGATAAGTAATATACAGTAAAACTTCACTTTTATGATTTTCAAGGGACAGAAAGGAAAAATATATAAGTGAGAAATATGCATAACTGAATTTGAATATTATGAGTAGGAATGTGATTTATATGCAACGAAAACAGCAAAATATGCACATATATATGTAATTATATTTGGTAATATAAGCAATTAAAAAAGTATACAAACTAGTATAATGTGCACGTATAAAAAAGTGTAATGTGGGAAATATGGTTAAAGAAATTAAAAAAACAGAAACCATATAAATTATTACAAGCGACAAACATTATGTCAAGGGCTTAATTTTTGAAGAACTCTCATTTCTTAGAAAAATAATGGGAGATGCAGAGAATGTACATTTCACAAAATAAAACAATGTAGGTATTAAAACAAAAATACGACTTCCGCTCAATTCACGGGTCTGATTCTTTTAACACCACTTCACATTTGCACCGTGTGTGGGTACATGTAGGCGCTCAGCAGATGCACTGTTTTATTTTGACTGATTCTGCCGATGATAAGTCTTGGCGAGCTTCTCAAGTAGCAATGCGAGGCGAGCAACAATGCTGATCTGTGGCTATGGCAACATAAACAAATTCTCGAAAGCCCATTGCTTCAAAGCAGGTCACATGATGTACCATAGCAAGTGGCGAGAGAACTGTCAGAGCACTTCCTTTTTGAAGATGAGTAAAAAAGTGCGACACAATTATGCAAATATGCGAAAATTGGCAATTATGGTGATGTATGTCACAATATGCAAAATAAAAATAGTTTAAATTGATTCTAAAAACCTCAAAACATATACAACTTGTTGAAACGGGACATTTTAGTTTACAGAAAAAAATGCAAATGCATATAAATCACAACCCTCATTATGCGCAAAACAAAAACTCAATACTTTTACAAAGGTATGCTCCACTCTTGGACCTGCTTGCAGGAACTAATGTTAATTTTGATTTATTTAGTCAAAAAACAGTAAAACTGTATGTGACGTATTGTGGAGAGGCACCTTTTGTGCATGTTTTCTTGAGCTCCAGAATCTCTTTCCATCATTTGACCTATAAATAGTTAAATTATGAATAAATGATTCAAAAACAGCTAAGTAAGCAATTTTTTAAAACTAAATATTTTCACATGTGCGCATAGTGAAAGTTAATTTATGACAAGAAGCACAACAATGAGCTATCTCAGCATTTGCTCAATGGATAATGGGAACCTGATAGAGAACGGAAGCTTAAGTACATTAATTGTTTCTTAGAAGACATGCACGCCAAGCATAGGCAAGCCCAGTGGAAAAGAAAGCACTGATATTTGCACTTTATGCAACCAGTCCTTTAATGTCAGTATAAATCTTTGATTTCCTTAAGTTTCAATATTTCCTTTAAACACACTGAATTTTTAAAATGCAATGTTGGTGAATGTTATGCAAAGCCTCACCACACACACTAGAACTCCTGTTTTTTCATACTGTAGTTTTGCCCAAAATTCCAAAATGGTAAGTTGAAATTGTTTGAAATGCCCTGCACAGAGTTGAAATTAAACAACCTGAAGTCAGTAAAATTCAACACAAAAATTCCTTGGGCTCCTCTACAATAATGTAAACACTCTCTATTGGTCACCTATGTCATTATCATTTGGACATTCTATGGCCTTAAAAGGGACTTTCATTATAAATGTATAAGCATGGAAAACATATAAATGTAAAATGCACATCAATTTAACATGGGAAGTATAAGAATTTATCAGGGACTTACAGTAAAACTGTGTTTATTCATTGTTTTTTGTAATTCAACAATCATAATAATAATTATAATAATCCGGGGTCATGATGTAAACTCACTGAACCCCTAAAAGGGTAGTGGCCTCCTGTCAGAATGAGGTGGTGGTTCTACTTATCTCTTTAGGTGAACCAGTCCTTAAGAGATGATGATTAGGGATACTACTAATAAAATGCATTCTAACTGCAACTTACAATGATGTGCCTCGGTGTTATTCACTTGCTCAGTTGTACCACTTGCATTTTTAATCAACAATTTATCGTTTGCTTTTGCTACTTGAGTTTCCAAGTCTGAAATATTTCAACATAGGGAGATCCTTGAGATCCTACAGTAACAACTCTTCATTCATAGAGCTATTATTCAAATTCAGTAGCTGTAACATTTACCTGATGAAAAGGGATTTTTTCTCACACGCTTGATCCTGACCCCTTTGCCTATTAGTGGTTCTATTCCACAATTTTCTTCTAAATTTAATTGCTCAGGATGGGTGAGACTGTCAGGATCTGAAAGATGCAATGATAGAAAGAAGATAAATTGAAATGCAATTGAACTGCATGCTGGCAATTATTTAATCAAGATATTTACTCACAAGGATGTTTATTTTTTGAGCTCCGATTTGAGACAGACGCATTTGCAGTGTCCAAATTTTCACGTGAATTTATCTGCCCAACTTGAGCACTATCTTCAGGAGCTGAAATGCATAAAATGACAAATGGGTTTCATCGCATGAGCAGTAGAGTGGTTGTTGTTGTTGCAATGTCAAAATTTATTCAATCTCTGGGACTTCTCCAAATTCACAAGTATGCTAAATATACATTTAGTAATATCCCGTGTAACATTGTGAGGAGCTTAGTAGTTATTTTGTCATAGCAGCCTTTCATTATATTGAAAAACATCAATAATTAAGAACATCTACTACCATATATCCGTTGCAAGATCTCTATTACTTCAACATGAATTTACCAATGATAAAGCTTATTATTTATTAGAAGAAAGATATATTAAATAATTACATTGCATTATTATAATTACATTAGTTTCAAGTTTCCTGTATTTTCCTCCTAATCTTTTAAATAGCATTTAATAGTTATTTTATTCTGGTTATGTGTGGAGTGTAATGTTCACTTGTTCACCCCCTCCACTCAGCGTTACTAACCTAACAAAAAGTAAAGGGTTACAAGGATCTGAGGATCGGATATGTACAAGTAAACAAAGTGATTATAAGACAGATTTACGCATGTTTGTTACAGAGGATTCACACAACTTGATTCAATAACAAACATTATTGAATTGAAATCCCAGTTACATGATGTACAAAGTTAAGGGAATGGTTTACTTCCATGTGAATGACTTAATTTTGATGAAACACAAATCAACAGTATTAAAATATTGGGCACAACGTGCACAATAAAAAAGTAGTGTTTCGCTTGGTGGCTGATCTGAAGTGCCTCACTCCATGATTTCCCGTCTTAGTTTTCTGAGGAGAAAATATTTCAAAACATCTTCAAACCTCAATTACGCACACGAAACCAAAAGTAAAACCAGAAAAAAATGTGCAAAAATTTCACACTACATGGCAAAGAGTGTGTGAATTTCACGGTTGGTAACCTATGTGTTTTACAAGTAGTGAGGGTAATTTATGAACAAGCGAATGTCGCACACTGCTTGATAACTAGCAGTTCACCAGAATACTCAAGATTCATCATTCATTAATTCAAAAACGGTCCACATGCCATCTTTGGTTGTCAGAGTAGCACGATCTGGAAAGACTAACCATCTTGCTAGTACACAAAGCTCATTAAGTCTCTGGCTTCAAACCTCTTTAACTACATACAAAATATCCAATTTACTGAAACGTTTTGTTGGACAAGTTAGACAGAATCAATTAAAACTGGCAACAAAATTATTAGTGTAGACCAACCTTAGCAAGAATGCATTCAGCACAGTTGCACTGAATTCCAAAAATTGATATAAATGCATTTTCCTTTTCTCTTTTGCACCTCTATGTCTCTTCAATAATTCTAATGAATGCATCCCTACATCTCCTTTTTCAATGAAAATTGTCTCTACAAATCCTAACACAAGTAATTACTCAAACAGGATATTTACTCACGAGAATATTTGTTCCTTGAGCTCATAGTTGTTTGTTCTGTCGTGTCAATCGCACCTCCATTACGATTTATATTTTGAGTCAGAGGTTCTACTTTAATATCACACTTGGAATTTGCAACCTCAAAAGTAGATTTCACAGAATCTTCAGGCACTAAATTATCTGGTATTGATGTTGACTCAGATGTCAGGGAATACACTGACTGGATGTGAATAGTAGAAGTACTATCAAGAGTATGTACATCTGCTTGTACTGGAGCAGGTGTTGGACCCAAATTGGTAACATAACCAGGGTTAATTTTATTCATAAATTTGGAGTCAGATTCATCTTCAGAGCACTGCTGTAATATTGGAGTTGTTATTCCTTTCATATTACAATCAAAAATTTGAGAACCACTTTCTTCTGAAAGCTAAAAAGCAAGAAATTATTAGTATATATTCTAGGCCTATTCTAACAAATACACAAGTATTTCCTTTTGATTTTGACTTAATACTCACAAGTTCTCTGCCCCTAGTGTCCAAACCAATGATCTGCAGTGAATTTGCTACGTCCAAGAAAGTATTGAGCTGTGTGTGAGGTATCTGCACACTACCATGGTACACATATTCTAAAATCATCTTCAAATATTTGTATTCAATATCTTTAAACACAATAATGGGTTGTTGATTCGTATCTTGAGAAAATAGTAACTGAAAACAATACAGAACAATATATTTTGTCACCATGTGAAACTTCTAATCTTTCACACACACACACACACACACCCCTCTTCTAAATATTACATATATGGAGATTGCAAGTCACTGGTTTAGACCATCAAAATGGAACTTATCTTGTTACATGATAATATTTCTCTAAATCAATACTTACTGGAAAGGATCTAGGATAGATTCCATAGCCCTTTAAAACCCAATTATTTTTTTCTTTCCAATTTCAAATAATGTTATTTTCTTTTTAATTCTAGATTTAAAAATTTGTCACAATATTTTTTTTAACATTGCATTTCTAGGATTGGAATGGGTGTACCCACACGACCATGAGTCATGTAATCATGATTTCAGAATTTCTAAAATGAAACTAATGAATTCATTGTTTAAAAGAAAAAAAGAATATTTTAACATAACATTTAACTTACATTTTTACATGAAAATCTTTGTAACAATTTTTTTTTTTTAAACAACATAAACAAACTTTTCAATTCTTACAGAGAATTTAGGAATGACTCTTGTAATTATTGTTATTTGCAATTGGTCTTCATCAAATTTCCAGTTTTTAAAATATAATAAATCTTTGTGAAATTTGCAGCCTGGACAAAAAGTTTCCATCAAAATACTGAAATAATTACTTCGAACTTCTGCCTCAACGTTAATATTTGAAAAATCTTGTAGCCTAGAAAAATCCTTCGACTGAAAAGAAGTTTTATGCCACAAAAATCATTTGGTTATCTTTTTCTTTGCTTTTTGAAACATTTTTTTCTGGATTGTGCACACCTGGGAACATTGATGACACAATAGGCTTGTCAACTCTGTGCTGATTGTCTCCTTTTCTCCGGAGTGGATGATGTGTAATAATAATAATAATAATAATAATAATAATAACAATAATTTTGTTCTGAAGGGTTAAGTCTTATGTTTGTACATGCTGAAATAATATTCAAGGACTCAGTTTTGCAGTCATTTGATAAAGAATTTCCTACATACCGCTCCCTGCAGAATGCATCATGATTCTTGTTAGACTACTCAAATTGTAATCATTATTTAAAATATACTTAAGAAATTTGACAATCTGTGATGCCAGAGTGCTTGGACATCTAAACTAACGTTAAATTTATGAATATTAGGGAAGAAAATTATATTTGTAACATTTACTTTCAATATTGAAAATTTTAACATAAATACGTTTTTAGTTCCCTAACCACAAAACTTAATCTAAGCAATCTACTATAGCAATCTACTTGAGACACACTTCAAAAAACAATCAAATAAAAGCACAAGTTTACTAGCACAGACCCATATAATTTGAATTCCAAAAGATATGGATCCTGTGATCTCTGATTGGACTGAAAATGCAATCTAGCGGTATAACATGTAACTACTACCCTTCCTAAAACCCTCACAGTTGTTATGCACCAGTGTTTGCAATCATAGTCTCACCAGAGTCGGCAAAATTTCAAAAGACCTAACTCTCATGATCATGAGAGTCAATGGGATGGGTGATCTAAAGTGTTCCAGATCCTGTTACCATCAATATACTCGAGATTAATGATGCAGTTGATTTTTGGGCATTGTAAGAAAGGATGAATATCTTGAATTGAGAATGGCAAGCACATTTTTTTTGTGCCAAGCACTGGTGGAAATGGAGTTCATTAAGGTTTTAAAAGTATGCAACATGTGAATGGTATTTGTGAACCATTATAATATTTTGTAAAAATTGTGTTTCTTGAACAAAGCCTATTTGAGGTGAACACAAAAGACGTTATCTTCCTCTTATTATAGTAATTTATCATAAATTTCTACATTTTGGGGATGCAATTTTTTTCTTTTGGTTAGGTATTCTGTAATTATATAAAAACATGTTTCGGAAATGTAAAGACCATATAAAATTATAATTAATTTTTATTTCTCACAATATTTCTTACTACTATTGCTTTCATCAAACAAAATCTCATTAAATAAAATGGAGTAATCACAAAGTATTTTCCATTTAAATGTGAATAAAGAAAAGTAAATAAATCTTACATTTCTATATTCACATTGAATGAATAAAGAATGATAAATAAACAAGTAATGGTTTGTACACAAGAGTGCAGAATGTGTTTAGTATTCTAGCATTAATGAATGTATATTTTCAATCAGTAAATGCTACTAGAAACTTGTAAGTCTACAGGTTCAGACATAATACAATACTATTATTCAACTGCAGCTTTTTGGATGCAATGGCACTAAATTTCAGCAAGTTTGCCTTCATGCCTTGAAATCATCACTAGATTTTGCTTTCCTCATTAAAATTAGCTAGAAAATTGTATAATTAAGTACCTGAAAGTAAGGACTACATGATGACAAAATGATTCGATGAGCCTTAAGAAATCGTCCTCCAGCTGCCAGAGTACAGTCTACCAAAACATTGCTTTCCAAAAGATTTTCTAGGGTTTTCAACACTGTATTAGAATGATCATCTCCTTTGAGACATAACATAGGCATTTTCAGAAGCTGAAATAACAAAAAAACAACAACATTGAAGCATCCTTGTTTACATTATAATTTTTGAAGGCAAATATATACCTTTTTTCTACATGCAAGAAAATTACAGAAATAACATTAAAACAATGACACAAACGTTTAGTTACCTTACTCAAAAAGTCACAGTACACAAAATAACTTCTAGACGAAGCTTAAACTTTGTCAAGGTAAAATGCACAACACTTCACAACCGTTTAAATTTTACACCTTCTAATGAAGTGAAGACAAATTTCAGTAATAGATAAAAAAAACTGTTTTAAATATCACACCGAGGAAGTTTGATTTCAAGTGTGTAACGCGATGTAGAATCAGCTGTTTACAACAGTTACAACCACGTTTGCATAAGTTAGTTTACATCGGAAGGTCATAAAACAACGTAGGAAATATTTATTGACAATTATCTTCTTGTAACTAGTGCTGCCCTCTGTGGCAGGGGGATCAGTAAAGTTGTGGGAAATATGAATGTACGGATAATGTTGACACTTCAAAAAAACGTCTGTACATTGCATACTATTTTATGAAGAAACGTATTACAGGCAGGTAACCGTTTTCCAATATGAGTCTGAAAATTATCTGTAAATTTTATGTCTGTTACTTACTGATAAGGTCAAAATCTCATTGAGAACTGAAAGATTTACTCATAAATAATACTGACTCTTCTCTCTAATTGTAAAGCACGTGATGTAATCTACTCACTTCCGCAAGGATATAAGGAACGATAACGCGGGCCCGTGGGCGAAATGGCGTCTAATTTACTAATCTCAAACTTTTAAAGTGAATTGACGTTTGCTACGCATGTCTACGAGTAGTTTTATGACGAGGCTCCGGTCTTCTTCCTATGTGATCAACATAAAACATCCTTGATTCTGTCCAATGTATTTTATTCCAAATTATCTTTTTTGTCGAATGCTTTACCGAACTTTTTTGTTGCACCGTAAACTCTTTGCTATGCATGTCGAAGTACATGAGGCTCTGGCCTTCGGCCTTAGCGATTAATATTAAACATCCTTGAGCCAGTTAAATGTGTGATTTCCAACGCATTGTGTACTAAACTACATTTTTAATTAATTAAATTGCGTAATTATCATTAGAACTACGAAGCAGAATCCCTTAGTTACCGCCACTGTTCTTTCATTCGTTCAACGATCTCGCGACATCATAGTCGATTTGGTACAATGGGGGTAAGACACTTAAATTACTATACAAAATTAGCACCATTGTCAGAAAATGTGCAGATTATACCCCCCGGGAATATGAAACGCTGAAGCCTAGAAAATCTGGACTCAACATGTGACAAGTAACTACGAAAAGAATTCACCAAACACGCATCAAAGAATATATTATAGCAAATCGTATCCGGGCAAAACACGTATCCCTTCATGTCCTTATCTGCCCTTATCCTCTACCAGTGGTACAAACAATAACCAAACACAGGTTAGTCGCAGGTCACTAAATGGCTTGGGACAATTCTGAAGTATTTGATCAGGAAATTCATTATTTTAGACATTCTTCCGAAATTCTCCATATTTATCAAACTACCAATTTACTAAGTTTTCACTTGGTCACAGGGAAACTTTACAATATTCACCAAATTATGTTAAGAAATATGTAAACTCTTTGCAACAGGCTCGATAATTTCTGTTTCTAGTTTGGCCCAAGGGGGGCGGTTTGTAGATTTTTACATTTTGAGCATTGCTTTATTTTTATTGACAAACTACGTGCGATGGTTTGGTGTTGGCAGGTGGTAAGTGTTTGACATAACTTCGTAACGTATAAAATATATATCATTTTAGTTCAACATTTATGTATTTACTCCAAATGTGATCTCATGATTGATTTTGGACTAGCACAACGTTAGCTGACAACATTACATGTCGCATGTTATTATAACATTGAAAGATGAGAAAGAAAGAAACAAGAAAGTTACCGTAACGAGGTAACTCAGACATTAATTAGGCCTCATTTACAGTGGAAAAATAAACGTATCGTTACCGCCAAACCTAAAAATGAGCTACTAAGCGAGGGCATGTACAATGACTTGACGTACGCGTATACTAAATCCATAGAGTTCACTAGCCCTACGCTTTTACGTATAAGTTTATGTCAGAATTATACCGAAGACCAATCAGAAAGCAGCATGAAAAAAGAAATTTACAACAAAATCCGAAAGAACCAAATTGGAGGTCGAAACAGCATAAGTTGCACGCCCATATCTCTATTTATTGCCATGCCAAAATCTATAAGTTTAAAATATTTACGACAGATTTCATTTAAAGCTCCTTACAATTACAATAATTACTCGCATATACGAAAGATTTAAGTCGAGGAAAGACGAAGAAAATGCTAAAAATGAATCGATCAACACGTTGAATTGTGACTGGTTCAGGTAAAACTTACGTTTTACAATGGCGGATTAATACTAATTAGGATCTAGGCGATTGCAAATGACAGGGTGGGTGCCCCGTTTGTATTTACTGTCCCCCTCACATTGTTATTAGTAGGGCTGTGATTTATATGCTGTTGTATATTTTTTTCTGTTAACTAAAACATCCTGTTTCAAGAAATTGTATACGTTTTGAGTCTTTTAGAATCAATTTAAGCAATTTTTATTTAGCATATTGTCGCATATATGACCATAATTGCATATTTTTCTCTAGTTGGGCCAAATTTACATATTTGTGTTGCATATTCACCTCTTATCCGCGGAAAGAAGCCCGAAAGTTACAGTTCCGTCAGGGTGTAAGCGACTCTGACAGTTCTCTCGCCATTTGCTATGTTTCATCATGTGATATGCTTTAAAGCAATGGGCTTTCGAGGACTTGTTTACGTTGCCATAGCCACGGATCAGCGTTACCGCTCGCCCGACTCATAAGAAGGAGCTTAGACTTAGCTGGAGAAGCGCATTAAGACCTGTCGTCGGTAGTATCAGTGGAAAGGAAATGTGCTTCCACCAAGCGCCTATCATACCCACATATGGCGCAAACGTGGAGTGGTGTTAAAAGAGACCCGTGAATTTGTCGTGAACTGAGAGAAAGTCATATTTTTGTTGCAATACCTAAATTGTTTTATTTTGTGAAATGTACGTTAACTGCATCTCCCTCTGCATTATTTTCCTAAGAAATGAGTTTTCTTCAAACGTAAGCCCTTGATGTAATGTTTGTAACAATGTGTATAGTTTGTATATACCTTGTAACAATTTATATAGCTTCTGTATATTTTTTTACTGTAAACGTATTTTCCCCATTATACTTTTTATTTATTTTTACGCTTACACATTACACTATTTCGCATATTTTTCTTTTTGAGTTGCATATATTACCAAATGTATTTACATATATATGCGCACATTTCGATGTTTTTAGTGAATATAAATCACAGCTCTAGATATTAGGGTATGCATTCTGAATTTGTACATTTTAAAAAACTGTTGAAATATTTTATTTTATTACATTTTCGAAATCCCAGAAAAAGTATAAACAAAAATACTTTGTTCTTTGTCTGTTGTCTGTTGACTTTGGGTTCCGTAATAAAAAATATAGTTTTCTTTTACGAAACGGTACTACTCACTTTTCACTTTTGCTTAAAATGTACTCACTTTTCATTTTCATTTCCTTACATGCTTTCATTGAATTTCATAGTTGCCTTCATGAGCTCAAAATGTCTCGAAAAGTAATACAGGGTTACAAAAAATAGATGCCTGACTCGTTGAATTTTTAAAAACGTTTTTTAAAAAAATGTTTCACGTCGGGGGCCCTTGCCCATTGGGGTCCTTAGGCAATTGTCTAGTACTGTCTATTGGTTAATCCACCACAGACGATCCAGCAACGTTCGTTGTTGTAAATGCTTTTTACTTTCTCGATATCGCTTACGGAGTAGAGAGAAAAGTTTGTAATGCTACGCGAAAAAACGGCGAATTTTCGTGAGAAAAACTCATATTACAGGCTACCAGGTAAGGGTACCAATCCACGAAAAAGTGGATAAATCTAGCTTGCTAAATTTAGAAAAAATTCTATAACACGTGATGTATCTTGAATCCGTGTTCTTGTGTGTCGTTGATACCGAAAAATCGAATGACGGCAAAACGTCTATCAGTCCGTCCGTCTGTGAAGACGCTAGCGGCTAAACCGTTCAGCCGATATTCTTCAAAATTGATATTCCCTAATCGATCTGACTGATGTCGCAGCGTCTTGAATTTGAAACACTTTCAACAAAAAGGGACTCAATCGTTTTTTTATTAAAGTATATTGATGAATAGTGTAAAGGGCTTAAGAGAATGATGCAGGTCTCATTTTCGTTGAAATCTGATATTTCGATAATTGAAAACAATCAACATTTTTCGGCGTCTTTCTACGACTACAATTATAAAGATAGAGTTTTCCCCGTAATCAAATCTGTTTCTTAAAGATAGATTTTTGAATAAGGCCATGTTCAATTGTTCGAAAATTTGAGTACTTTTCGCGTAAGTACGTAAGTACGGGCGAGAAACTACGTCCTGTTTTAGCACCTCCACTTTTTGCGTGTAAATTTTACAGCTTTTACAGCATTACGTTACGGTTGCGTTCGCCTAGTGAATGATGACTCGAAAGCGAAAACTAACTGGCAGGACGAAGGGCACTCTCTTCATGTAGTTCGGATGACAATTGGAAATTACCGCTACAGAGCTCAAAGATATACAGGTGTCTCACCAACTATGAGCCACCCCCATAACTTCTAAACGATTCACAATATCGAAGTGCATTTTTCGTCCAACAATGCGGACTCATGGGACACGGAATACGCCCGAGATATATTGTTTAAAGTAGGTTTAGTTTTATATAAATTTAATCATCTTTGTTGTTTTTTTATGGAACTATATATTTTTCTTATCAGCAAAGGATAGAACAGAAAAGAGAAATACAATGATGTATCATACGTTAGTATTTTGATAGTAATTTGAGAATTAAATTAGATTTTCTAACATGTAATTTTAAATTAAACGTAAGTCTCGGCCACTCATACTTACTAGTCTCGTCGCCGCGAAAGCCACCTTCCCTGAATGCAGGAGTTGCGAGGGCTGGTGCAAGAAATATTGTCCGTTTAATGTACAGCAGGTCAGGAAATTTCATTATATACTCAAATTACTATCAAAATACTAACATTTTTTATTAACTTCTGCTTTATTCACAATTAGTTATACATAACTTTCGGTGAATGTTAGAACATATGTACATACACAAAAACACAGTTTATTATTGGGACAGTGATGTTGCCCAGTGGCAACTCAACTGAATCTGTACACGAGTTCTAAAGGAGTATGTCTTGCCAGTCGTCGTGTGTCCTCGCTGTTGTCCAGTAGGTTTAGCGCCAGGTAGTTTGGATGGTTTTCAAGCCTCTGCTGGTATCTGAAGCTGGAACTGGTGATTATTTCTTTAACAGTTTTTACTTGCAAGTCATTATGAAGAATTACATTGGAAATATATCAAGGAGCATTAGCAGCAGCGCGCAATAGCTTTGACTGAAACCTTTGTAATATTTCTAGATTTGAGTTGCTTGCAGTACCCCATAGTTGAATGCCGTAGGTCCAGATTGGCATTAACTGTACTTTGAAATACTAACATATGATATATATAATTGTATTCCCCTTCTTATCATCTATCCATCCGCAATTTACCCACCACGCCAACTACTTGGAACAGCTCTAAAATTCGGACTAATGAGAACACTCGGTTTGGGGTTCTAGGCTATACATAGATACGATTTCAAAATATGCGAGTGGCGGCGGCCGGCTCGGCCACCACCCAGCAGCCCCTGCCACGGGGGGCGAGGGGTTGAGGAGGGGGGGGGGGACGCACAACACACCTCCACCCTATATACTCCACCATAAATATTCATCCATCCCTCCACATAAAGGTAGTAAGTACAACTAGAGTGTTCACGAGCGCTAGTGTTCCCACTGTAGATTGAAAGCCTACGCCATTTTGTTGGCAACAAATGAGAACCTTCTGTGAAGTGTAAAGAGTGATTGTTTGGTAGTGAGCGTTTTTCTGGAGTAATGCAGTGTTTTGCCGATTATGAACTCAAGCTCTAGTATTAAAATGGGGATTTCCTGTGCTGCAATAAATTGCTGCAACAGGCATAAGATAGGAATTTGCATTTCCTTCTACCGGTAAGGGTTTGAACATGTGGAATATATTACGCATAATACACTTCTTCTGTATTTACCTTAACTTTTCGTATTGCATTATTTCCCTCTTGCGAAGAAAGACCTTTGCGAGGAGTGGATAAGAAAAGTCAGAAGATTGGGGTTTAAACCTACACATCACCATGTGTACTGACCATTTCGAAAACAGCTGCTTTCAGCTTATAGCCAGTACTCAGGCAATGTAGTAAAATTAATTTCTCACTCCCTTTTTAAATCATGTTATCCATTGAAAGTATATTAATAAATCCAATTTATCATGTTAGTTATCTCTATGAAAGTGTATTACATAATTTGACATGATTTTTGTGTCTCCACCATGACTCCGCCGCCACTCCAGCATCGTCCTGTTTCACTGATTCATTGAGCAAATGCTGAGATGGCCCCTTGCTTTGCTTTTGAACGTAAATGTAGCTTCACGCGTTTACACATGCTACGCGTTGCTGTTTTACGCGTTTTCACATGTTTTATTGACCTCCTTTTGCTTGTAATGATAGGAGTAGAGGTAAGGGCCAGTTACTATTTTGTTAGCAATGTAGAAAAATCATACCTGCAATTCGTTTACCGATGCAAATATGTCTTCTATAACTCGTGAACGAAAATACCTTTGTTTTTTAAAATATTGCTAATCTCGCGCTTGTTTCAAATTTATTTTTATTTATTTTAAACTTTTACTCATCTTTCAACTATTTATAGTTAAAATGATGAGAAGAGATTCTGGAACTCAAGAAAACGTGCTCAGAAGATCTTCTCCCCATACGTCGCATGCAGTTTTTACTGTTTTTTGACTAAATAAATATAAAAATAATATAAAAATATAAAGTCGTTTTGGTGCACCTTGCTCGGCGATGACGTGGCGCCGCCGAGGATGCGAGTGGCGGTGGACGCAACTATCGTGTTACTGCCACTGCAGGATTAATTCGACCCCAAATGCCAAATACATTATTGTATATACGCTCATAAAGCTTGATTAAATTTAAACAGAAATTACGCAAAAAATACTAACTTTTACAAAAAATTGAACATGATATTTTTTAAAGAGCTAATTTTGTACAACAGACTTTGTTTGAGGCAAAAATCTGTCTTTAATTTTGTAGTTTTCATTTTGTTGCGATTTTCGAAAAAAAACGAACATCCAAAAATGAGATTAGCATCAAGTTTTTTTCGTCCGTTAAATATGTGGAATAAAGGAAAATTTGGAGCGTGTTTTGTGAAAAAAAATCGTAAATTTCAAGAGCATTTTATTAAATTACATTACAGAATAAATGTTTTGTAATTTTTGAAAAAACAAAACCATAGAGCAAAGTGATGTTTATATCATCTCTTAGAGTAGATTTAGCTCAATCCCTATCAAAATTTTAAAGAAAAAAATTTGAAGCTGTTTTTGAGAAAATCTTGTTTTTGTTGTTTTTTTAAATTGAAAATATTGCTCGCAATATTGTACGAAAACAACTAAAACTTTGATAACAATTTAGATGACCTTAATGAACGGACTTACTATGGAGAACAAATTTTATTTAAAAGAAAAATATCTACCTTCAATTTTGTAGTTGTAGGAAAACACCCGAAAAATTTCAAAATTTTCAAAAATTCAGTTGAGCATTGACAATCTGATCGGTAGTTTATCACCAATCAACACCGGGGGCAATGCCGGGAAAGTACCCTAACAAACTGGCCACGGACAGCGCACAATTTTTCCAATCTTTTCCTTGTCCTATCCTCACCCCTTACTTACACACACAAGCACTACACAATGACACATATCGGGAGACTGGAAGAGTCGGAAGCTCAGAGCTTGTCCTGACTGAGACGGCGTCCCGCTGGTGGGAGATACCTCGTTGGGGAAAACTCAGCAAGCAGACGTGTAGGTCGGCGCTGGTTCTCGTCATTCAGCGGGGGGAAATCACAGCCACCTCCCGCGCTCTTAAAGCATGCCCCACGCTTACGGAATTAATGACTTTAGCACTTGACGCACCCGGAAACACGAAATAATCACTTAACAAATCTATCAATCGCTCGACCCTGTGGAAGGGAAATGGAAGCAGGGAAGGAGAGAAAAGGAAAGATCGCGCGCGGTCCGTGGCTCACATTCTGCTGTGCTGCTCATGCATTCGTGCGTTAGCGATCATGTATCTCTCACAAACCACTGGTGAGAGCGGTCGGTCTGTTAGACAGACGGCTGTTTTTTTGTTATTTTTTTGTTTCTGTTTTTTTGGCTTCAGAGATGGCATTTGTGTATAACCACATTACACACGTGACAATTAGCAGACAATTAATATGTTTTATTACCAGACGGTTGTTTGAACTGTATGACGATAATCACGTATCCCACAGTAGTAGCCATCAGACTCAGCAAGAACTTCATATCCAGGATGAACAACCCGCCAACAGTAAACTGCACGGGGACGTCATCTGAAGCAGCAACAATTGCACCTGCCTCTCGAGGCAAGGCATGCCCCGAACGCTGGCCAGCAGCATCGCGGCTGCCCGTGTGGACGTTCCGTTGCCAGCCAGCGTTGCCGCACAGCTCGCCGTCGCTACTACCGTTGCCCAGGCCACGTTCTGAAGCAACGAAACTCCGAAAGCGCTGTATTCGAGAACCGTTTTCAAATAAAACTGGGAATCCAAGAAGTAGAACAAGGATATCACTTGAGATTGGAGTATGCCGCAGTGAAGAATCAAGAGGAATCCCCGAAAAATATTGTCGATAACTGAACAAACGTCCACCACAGTGGAATGGAATTCTTGTATCTCTTGAATTTGCTGTACAGTACTAAGTTCATCTGATGGCAAGATGTCTTTAGTTACAACGCTAATTACTGTCACATTGCTTTCATTCGTTTGGTGTGTACATTCCACACTTTTTTGATTCGCTTGTAAATTCTCTAGATTTTCGGATAATTTTTGTATCTTTTTATTTATTTCATCAAATGCATTTTTTGTCGTGAGGACTAAAACACAAAAAAGATAACATTCATTAAAGACAACTAAAGGTTGCCAGACGAAGTATATGGTCTGCAACATAGTATAATTCCAAAGTACGTGCTCCACACTTAGCAATGATGCATTGACCATCCCGAAAATTATCATACCACTCAACACGCATTTCCTTCGGGCAAGAAAAATAACTCGATTTTTGTAAATATGTTCAATTTTGGATAAACATCGGAACAATCTATTGTAAGATGGAAAACGGGTTGTTGCTGCGGATACAACAGCATAAGCGGGGAATATAACACAAACAAATAGGTAACAATATTGAAAGAACAAGTAGAGTGGTATAGATGGTTCATCAACTAAATACAACACATTATGTTCGTTGGAACATAAACAGTAGAAAATAATCACTATCTGAGCACAAATGAGTATAATTGATAGCAGTATGAATGGTTTGCTTCGATGAAGGTGCAAGGACGAACAAACGGTGTATGGTGCAGTTCCAATGATTTTCATCGTAATCAATAACGGCGACAGTGATATTATAATAGAAGGAAGTTTCAGTGTTGACTTGATTCTTTGAGACATTGTGCTAAAAATTCGTTTCTCGTAGCTATTCGAAAAATTCTCGACTTGTCAGGTGTATCTGAACCAAACAGACAGTGACAGTTTCTGAATATTGGAATTAAGAAAACTGTTAACGCAGACGTCTTTCCATTTATAGTTTGAGTTCTCCCAGTAGCTCTAATTTAAGGACGAGTATGTGTGTTGTAAGTATCCAAGGCAACGTAATCAATAAATCAATACTTAACAGGTACATTAATGTAATAGAATATACGAAATTAAAACATATTCTTAAAATAGTACAATAATGAAGTGTTTGCTTAGAAAACATGTCAGATATAAATGCTTACAAACAAAATAAAATGAAATAGACTAGCTTATTGGCTAATTAAGAAACCAGAATTCTGACTTCATTAGAGATGATTCTCTAAATGATACTCTAATGATTGACAGCCTTTCAAATGCCTTTATTAATATATTTGAAACACCTGCACTTTAATGGATTATATGTGGAACAGTGGTGTGATTAAACAAGGTAAGAGTATCAATTTAAATTAAAAAGTATGTTTATACAATACGTATGCCCAATTAGTTTTCCTTGTTTTCATGAGAAATTGGGTAAGCGACACACACAAAAAAAAAACAGATCGCCGTTCCATTTCTGAAAAAAAGTACAGTCGAGTCCGGTTACAGCGTACTTCTGGGATCTAACACTTTTGGTTCACTATATCAGAGATTCAATATATCCGATGATGTCAAAATGAAATAGAATTTCTTCATAATTATTTATTTTATTAATATACATATACAACAAAATACATTAACAGCATGAACAGAAAATTTCGACATCTTCTTTTAACCGTTAAAATCAATAATTTCCAATCGTTTTCTTCTTACGATTTTTACTTTTCCGTAAACGTACGCATATACGGAGTAATATGCGTAGTATAGGGAAAGTTATTAATGCTGCGGAAAATCGATTTCGAGATTTGAACGGAAATAAACGTTTTGGGGTCTCCTGATACCGAAAAAGCGTTTTTGTTCAAAATGTCCGTCCGTCTGTCCGTCTGTCCGTCTGTCCGTCTATCCATTCGTCCGTCAGTCTATGAACACCACTAGCGCCTAAACGTACGTACAATTTTTATGCTGTCCTGAAATACGTACGATTTTTTACAAAACCTTTTTTGCATTTTCAGAAACGCCCAAACGTCATTTTTTCAAAAACCACTCCAATTTTTTTCTTCAAACATTTCGAACGGATAGTGCACTCTTTAATGTAATGTAAAGTTCATTTCGGGGTATTTTTGGTGTTTTTCGAAAATTACACAAATGTAATATTTTAAAAGATCTCTCACGGCGTTAATATACACATTTCCAGAAATTTGTAAACACTATTGTATTTGTGAGTTAAAGTGCTTAAAACGACTTCTAATGAAGTTCTTCTAAAACTCAAAAAATTTTTGTTTAAAAGAGCTTCAAACTTCGAATTTACAGTAGCGCTTAAACGCCATTTTCTTAATCACGACTCCAATTTTTTCAAAGGAAATGGCCAATTAGGGCAAGGTTTTACTGTTCTTTTATATTCTTAAAATATTTCCGTTCTTCTATTAGGAAACCGAAACATTAAGAAAATTTCAAAAAGTACTTTGGGTGGCGATAGATGGCAAGAGTATGTGGCAAGTTCGTACAGCTAGACGAGACGAAAGGAAATAGAAAACTAATAAAAAAGTCTGAGCCATTCCGTGGCACTAGTTTAGTTTTGGCATTGTGCATATCATTTCAGATTGATGATTTTTTGAGCGTTTGAGATAGATAGAAAAAATGACTTTCGTCCATTGATATTTTGAATTTAAAAAAATTTAAAACTTTTGAAACTATAAAGAAAAAACTATATCTCATTTTAAAAATGATTTAATGAGCTTTTATTTGACGTATTACATGACGCGTATTACAAATTTGAAAATAAATCTTAAAAATTGTTTTTGAATTATTTTTGAAAAAAATATGAACGCAATTGTGAAAATGATAACCACAAGATAATTAATTTTTCTACACGTCTTATAGTACTAAATGCAATTTTCTGTAACTTTGTAATATAATTTTCAAGATGGAGAAACAATGGAGCATGCGACAATGAAGCAAGAATATATTTACTACTCACATACATATATCGGCAAGCAGGGGCTGGATATGCAGACGTTATGTTCATATTTTATACACAGTTTCATTTACATTACATTTTACTTAAAGTACACACAAAAGCACCATTTTAATCATGACAGAAATTCATAGATGTCATCTGTTCAGATTTGGAGAACACTTTTGCAATTATGAAACTTTTTTAGTGTGGTAATGCATAAAATGATAGTGTGCCACGTATTCTTCGTGAAATTGAAACCCCCGTTTCAAATGCTTTCTCTTCTCCTGCTTGATCCTTGGTGGTAAAATGTCTGCATTATCACTCAGGATATTTTTCTGAACCCATGTAACGAGGAGGGTTTATTGGTTCTAAAACACTGAAAACTGGCCCTTGGTATCAAAAGTTTGATCGTTCCCTCAACTCCATCAAAGTGTCCTTTACCGTTCGGTGTTGGAAAAATGCCATTCAGCATGTGTTCCAAAGTCTTCTTTATGGTGACACAAGTTTATAAAATTATTTTTGTTTTTATAATGAGAACTTGTACCATCAGAAGAGTACAATATTTTTTTTAATAATATTTAATTTCTCTCTCATAAAATCTATTAAATGACTCTGGAATAAATGAACGGATGTGGTATCATGTTTTAATAATTCCGAAATAGCAACAAAAATTGTATGCCTAATTTATATGCCCTCTTTATAATAAATGACAAAAGCATACACCGCAACTAGTTCGTTGTTCAAGTGAATTCCTTGAATTGGGTCTTGAATTATAAATGAATAATTTTCAGAAATATCGCATAACACTATTGAATCCCCTTCTATAAAATTTTGTTTCTATTCCTTTAAAAATATTAACTGTTGTTCTGCAATAAATGAGTACTTTACATTCGTTCTGAGCTGATTGACAAATTTTTACAGAAAATCCTCTGTTGAAGAGTGGGACGTTTATCTAAGGTCGCTTTCTCTGTTGACACCCATTGCTTGTATGTTATATTTTCGAGCGTGTTGTCTTCATACAATTGCTGTGTTTGTTGTATAAGCTGAGATGATCCAGGACACTCACTACAGTGTAGTAACGATAAAACTTTAATGTAGGGGGATTGCAAATAACTTGAGCTAAGCATTCTCTAAACCTCTTAATGGTTATGAGGTTTCTTTTGAGAGTTCTGAAATATGTCCACCGTCTGTCATTATTTTGGCATTTTTATGAATGGAACAGACACTAAACTGAATGAGTGCCACTTACTACGGCTACACATTGTTTCCGTCGAAGTTCTGCAAATGTTGAAAACATTATTTTACAGTCTGGATTTCTTTCATTGAATAAAGCGAAGACTTGCTTCAAATTGCGTAGGACCAGCAATTGTACTTTCCCGTATACGTACGGATGTACGGAGTAATATACGGTTATGAAAATCTTTCTTTAAAATATGGACGTACTTTCCATGGAGCTCCCCGGACATTTTCAAAATTTTATCCAAAACGGCTCCAATTTACTTAAAACGTTTCTTGTCAAATACATATATTTAATAGGCGTAGGTCCGATTTTCAGAGTTAGATCTGTATTTTCGTAAATTTCAAAAGTTTGAATTTTTTTAGATTTTCCTTCAACTACAAAATCGAAGATAGAGAGTTTTCTTTTAAATAAAATTTGTTCTCCATAGCGAGTTCTTTCATTAAGGTCAAGTACATGTTTTTGAAAATTTTAGTGATTTCATGCAATAGTGTATGCAATAAGTGATTTTTAAAAACTACAGAAACAAGATTTTCTCAAATCGGCTCCCAATTTTTTCCTTCAAACTTTTGCTATGGACATTCGTAAATACACTCTATAAGATGGCATAAACGCCGTATGGCTCTATTCTTTTGTTTTAAAAAATACAAAAAAATATTTTTTTACTTGTCTCTCCCGTAGTTAATATTTATTTTAGCGGCAATTTGTTCACATTATATTTATGATCACATGTGCTTTAAATAATGTCAGATAAAGTTTCTCAAAACATCGACCGTTTTTTGTAAAGACTAGCTCAAAATTCCGCATTTTCAGAAACGCTGAAACGACATTTTTGTTCAAAAACGACTCTAAATTTTTTCTTCCAACTTTTCGAACGGATAGTGCTAATTGCACTCTCTAATATGGCGTAAATTTCATTACTCAAATGTAATTGTTTTTAAGATCTCTTACACAGTTAATATGAACATTTCCAGCAATTTGTAAACACTGTTGTATTTGCGAGTTAAAGTGCTTTAAATGACTTCAAATGAAGTTTTTCGAAAACTCAAAAATTTTCTGAGAAAAAGAGCATCAAATTTCCAATTTACAGTAGTGCTTAAACGTAATTTTCTTAAAAACGGCTCCAAATTTTTCATAGTAAATTGCCATTTAGAATGATATTTTACCGTTCGTTAATATTCTTAAAATAATATTCTCGTTCTTATATTAGGAAAACGAAAAATTAAGA